CCCACTGTAATACTCATAAATGAATAAGAAAGGATATTCTTCTGCTGCCATATTTGTTTTTGTTTCCACTTTAATTAGACTAAAATGGTATCAGCGCCTTTAGTCTAGCAGACAAACTTTTAACCCATCAGTCTCTTAGGGTTTTCCTATTACTCTGTTGCAAGCTTTTATCATTACTCTACTATAAGTTTTTTTTCATTACTCTGCTGCAACCTTTTTCTTTACTCTGTTGCAAGTTTCCCATTTTGCCTTTGATTCTTCTTTTACTCCTTCACTTTTGATCTTTTTCTTGATATTTCAACATGCCATCTTCCTCTAGTACTGATTCTGCTACTAACACAACACCTCTTGGGTTTTCTTCAACTCTTCTTACATCTCCATTGTTCTCCACTAAGAAGGTGAGTCTTTAACTCAATGAAGACAACTACCTATTATGGAAACAACAAATTTCACTCACAATCAGGATTCACAATCTCCACTACCTTTTGAATGACTCTTTCATTGTTCCTCCAACCACCATTGTTGAGAATGGCAAAGAGTTCCCAAATCCTGAGTTCCTTACCTATGAGCAACAAGACAGTGCCCTTGCATCTTGGCTACTTGCTTCAGTCAGTCCAAGCCTCCTTCCTTCCCTTGTTGGTTTGACAACCTCTGCTACCATTTGGAAAACACCCACCCAGATCTTTGACACACAAACCACAACTAGAATTATGCATCTTCACAGTATGCTTAAGGGCCAACGTAAAGGCAACAAAAGTATGCGTGAATATCTCTCTGGCATCAAATCTCTTTGTGACTCAATGGCTAGTTGTGGTGAACAAGTTTCTAATTCGATTCACCTTGCTACCATTCTTACTGGACTTACCCCAGAGTATAAGCCAGTGATTGTTGTAATCACTGCTAGTCAACATCATTTCACTGTTCAACAGGTGACTAGTGTGCTACTTGACGCAGAGGCTCGACAACAAGATAGCCTTATCCATCTCTCTGTTTCTGCTAACCTTGTTAGCAACCAAGCAGCTCCCATCTCTACAAAACCTTCACTTCATGGTCTACCCCTTTATCAGCCTCCAAGTTACCAAAGTTCTCCACAACCTACCACACGTTTTCCCTTCCAAGGAAGAGGTCGTGGGAGAGGTAATAGGCACTAATGCCAGTTATGTGGGAGATTAGGACATCTTGTCAATCGATGCTTCTATAAGTTTGACCCTGGCTTTACCGGTCCTATTCCTGGCCAACCTCTTCCAGCACCACCAGTTCAACAACCTTCACATGCTTATCCTTCTCATCACTACCAACCAAGCCCTTCTCCATTCAATCCCCCTTCCAGTACCCCTAGACAAACATATTCACCATCTAAATTTGCCTACTCTCAGATTTCCACCCCACCTCCATTTACTCATAACAATCTGGATAGCTCTCATAATTACGGTAATGGTACTTGCTTCTCAAGCTCACAGCTCACTCCACAAGCACACATAACCACTCCAGAAATTGTCAATGACAGTGCCTGGTACCCAGACTCGGGAGCCACTCACCATATTACTAATGATCCATCCAATGTGAACAATGCCTCACACTACACAGGCTCAGGTACTATTACAGTAGGTAATGGAAACTCTCTTCCTTTTACTCATATAGGGCAATCCTCTTTTCTTACAAGTTCTAAACCTCTTCTCTTGTCAAATATATTATTTGCTCCACAAATTACAAAGAACTTATTGTCTGTTTCAAAATTCACTAAGGACAACAACGTAATGTTCGAATGTTTTCCCTCTCATTGTTCTGTGAAAGATCTGGTCACCAAGGAGATGCTACTTCAAGCACATGAGTATGGTGGTCTCTATCTTTTGAATCTCACCTCACTTCAGAAGTCTTCGTCAAACTCAGCAGCTCAAGTCAAGCCAACTTCTAGTTTTGCTTCACATTCAGCTTCTGCTTGCAATAGTTTTTTTCCTTCCTGTCATTTAGTTTCATCCAAAGACTCTTATGATGTGTGGCATAGAAGATTAGGACACCCCTCCCCTGATGTAGTTCATCATTTTGTTTGAAAGATTGTAATGCTTCCTTTTCAAAGGCTAGCATGTTTGAATCATGTACTGCTTGTCACATGGGGAAAATGCATAAGTTACCTTTCAAGAATTCGCATACTGTTTATACTGAGCCACTTGAACTTATTGAGGTTGATCTTTGGGGTCCTGCCCCTATACACTCTTCTGGTTTTTCTTATTACATCTCATTTGTTGATGCATACACACGATTCACATGCATTACATTCCTTGCTCACAAATCTGATTCACCTCAAACTTTTCTAAATTTTCAAGCAATGGCAGAAAGACGTTTTAATAGGAAAAATTAAAGAAGTTCAAACTGATAATGGCACAGAGTTCAACTTGCTTAAATCTCATTTCCTTAGGAATGGCATCATCCACAGGCTCACTTGTCCATACACTTCGCCCCAAAATGGCATTGTAGAACGCAAACATAGACATATTGTTGAAACCGGTCTTAGTTTGTTAGCTCAAGCTTCTTTACCTCTAAAATTTTGGAGTAATGTGTTCTACTCCGCAGTTTTCTTGATTAATAGGTTACCTTCGAAGGTCATTCAATTCTTGAGTCCTCAGGAGAAACTATTTGGCAGTAAACCTGATTACCATTTTCTCAAAGTTTTTGGTTGTCAATGTTTTCCTCTATTGAGGCCATTCAATAAGCATAAAGTTGAGTTTCGGTCCCAACCATGCACCTTTTTAGGTTACTGTGCAAATCATAGAAGGTATAAGTGCCTCACCCCTAATAGAAAAATTATTATCTCAAGGCATATCTCATTTGATGAGAACACTTTCCCTTTTGCAGTTCAGGGTCCTCAAGATGGTTTACCAGCATCAGCTAAACCTCTCTCAAGAGTCATACCCCTTGTTGTTAACTTGAATAACAACTCCATTTTACCACCTCACGAACCCACGTCGACTGCTAGTGAACGCGTGGGTATTCCACTTTCCCCTGTTTCTCAAAATTTGTTCGGATCTTCACCTACAAACCAGCTTTATGCACCTTCCTCCCCACCTTCTTCCCCTCTTGTTGGCCAACTTGAACCATCAGTAAGCAGCTTGCCTGCTGATTTAAGACCTGCAATTGAAACACCAGTCAACACACACCCTATGCTAACAAGATCGAAAGTTGGAATTTACAAACCCAAGGCTTACAACATTGACCTAACTTCAGTTGAGCCTGTCTTCATCCATGAAGCAATGCTAAATGATAAGTGGACAGAAGCAATTTATGTTGATCTTCAAACTTTGATCAACAATGGAACTTGGAGTTTGGTTCATCTCCCTTCATCTCGAAAAGTTGTAGGCTGCAAATGGTTGTTTAGACTCAAGAAAAATCCTGATGGGACTGTTTCTAGGTACAAAGCGCGACTGGTTGCAAAAGGGTACTCTCAAACCTTTGGATATGACTGTCTTGATACATTTAGTCCAGTCTCATCAAGGATTACAGTTCGAATAATCATTTCAACTTTAGTCACAAACAACTGGTAGATTCGACAAGTTGATATTAACAATGTTTTTCTCAATGGAGACCTTAAGGAAGAGGTGTTTATGAAACAACCTCCTGGATTTGTGCAAACGGATCCTGAAGGACGACCATTGGTATGTAAACTTCACAAAGCACTTTATGGTCTTAAGCAAGCCCCTCGTGCTTGGTTTGAAAAGCTCCGTGATTTTCTTATTGATAAATTGGGCTTCAAAGAATCTGTGGCTGACCCAACTCTGTTCTACTTGAACTCTCCTTCCAATGTCACATATCTAGTGGTTTATGTTGATGACATCATAATCACAGGCAACAATGACTGCTTTATTGAAGAACTCATTGATCATCTTCATTTGAAGTTCTCACTTAAGGATCTAGGATTACTTTCCTTTTTTCTAGGAATCGAAATCCACAAAATTGGCAACCAACTTCTTCTAAGTCAAAAGAAATATATCACTGAGATCCTACTCAAGGCAAACATGTTTGGGTCACACTCCACTTCTACACCAATGGTTGGACATCCACCACTGTCTCTTACTGATGGGGTTGCTCATGAGCACACGAAAGAATATCGAAGCATTGTTGGAGCTCTTCAGTATGTCGGCTTCACCCGACCAGATATTGCATTTAGTGTCAACAAGGTCAGTCAATTCTTAAAAAATCCTCTTGACAAACACTGGAAAGTTGTTAAACGAATCTTACGCTACCTCAGAGGTACGTTGGACTACGATTTACTCTATTCTCTAGCAGGACATCAAATGTTAACAGGATTTTCAAATGCAGATTGGGGTAGCTCAATAGATGATCGCCGATCGACTACAGGCTACTGTGTGTTTTTAGGAGGAAATCTGGTAGCGTGGAGCTCTAAGAAACAACATGTAGTATCAAGATCCACAACAGAGGCTGAATGTCGCAGTTTGGCAGATGTCATTCAAGAAGTTCTCTGGATCAAAGGCTTAATCTCAGAACTTGGTGTCCGATCTCAGTTCAAACCAGTAATTTGGTGTGATAACACTAGCACAATCGCATTAGCATCAAATCCAGTCCTCAGATCGAAAACTAAGCACTTGGAGCTAGATCTTCATTTTACCAGAGAAAAGGTTGTTGCTGGTCAGGTCAATGTGAATTTTGTGCCTGCTTCCCAACAAATTGCTGATGGATTCACTAAGCCCCTAGCAGGAGATAAGTTCATCTTGTTCCGAAATCGATTAAGAGTGCTTCCGCAGAAACTATCTCCTCGTATTCACAACATCGAGGATGAAATAGAACATAAATCTTCAACATTAGACGAGCAGGGAGAATATTAGAGATAGTAGATTAGTAGTGGTTTCTATTTCATAAAACGACATAGTTTTGATTGTTCTTATCCATTATACTATACAGTTGTCATTGTATTTGCATTCTCCTCTCATGTTAAGACACGTGGCTACTCTAAGTGCTATATATAGCACCCACTGTAATACTCATAAATGAATAAGAAAGGATATTCTTCTGCTACCATATTTGTTTCTGTGTCCACTTTAATTAGACTAAAAATCACAAATGTAGTATACAAAGCAGAAGATAGAGTTGATTCAACTCTAAGAAGGATCATTCTAGCAGATCGAGAGGACAAGTGGCAAAAGGCTTGTACATCCTTTTATGAAGAATTGTTGAAAGTGGAACAACAAGTTTATTTTCTCAACAGAGAGGTGATGTTGATCGAGTTTAACAACCATGGAAGCAAATCTGCAGAATTAGCAACAACTACCTCCTCACCGGAAAAAATTACTATCGAGGAAAATACTATTATTGGGATGGAGGATGAATTCAACACTATATTTAATCGCCTCATTGCCCCAACAGACAAGTTAGTGGTTATATCAATTGTTGGTATGGGCGGTATAGGTAAGACAAGTCTTGCTAGAAAAGTTTATGATAATTCCTATATTCGTTCTCGATTTGATAAACATGCATGGGTCACTGTCTCTGAAGAATACAATAAGAGACAAATGCTTCTTGAAGTTGTTTCTTCAATTACTGGAAGCAACCAAGAAATGAGCAATGACAAACTAATGGAGATTGTGTATAGAGGTCTCAAGGGTAGGAGATTTCTAATTGTCATAGATGATATTTGGAGTACTGAGGCTTGGGACCAAATGCAAAGAATATTTCCAAATGATGACAATAGAAGTCGAATTCTATTAACCACTCGGCTCAAGTATGTTGCTGATTATGTCAATTTCCCTGATTATCCGCCTCATAGTAAGTCCTTTCTAAGTCTTGATGATAGTTGGAATCTATTCACCGAGAAAGTATTCAAAAAAGATCCATGTCCTCATCTACTAGAAGAAATAGGGAAGCATATTGTACAACAATGTCGAGGATTACCTCTCTCAGTGGTTGTCGTTGCTGGACTTGTTGGAAAAATGGACCCAACGTATGATAATTGGAAGAATGTTGAGGAAAATCTGAAGTCATTCTTTGGTACGGTGTCCAAACGGTGCCAATCAATTCTTTCTCTGAGCTACAATTACTTGCCCCAATATTTGAAGGCTTGCTTTCTCTATGTTGGAGTTTTTCCAGAAGACAGAGAGATAGATGTTTCCAAGTTGATTAGACTATGGATTGCTGAGCAATTCATAAAGGCAAGAAGCAATAAAAGGTTAGAAGTGGTTGCACTCATCTAGAAGATTTAATTGATAGAAGTCTAATTTTGACCCGTAAACAAAGGGCTAATGGAAGGATGAGAACTTGCAAAATTCATGATCTTCTTCGCCAACTATGCCTAAGTGAAACTCATACTGAAAATGTTGTGCATGTCATGAATGGGAATGTTCCCATGTTCTTAAAATCCATAGATGATCAATGGCGAGTGATCCTTCTGTCTGAACTTCAAGAGAATCAAATTTATCCTCCAATGCATAGCAATGGTATAACTCTCACCTGTATTTCATTGCAATCTTTTTATTACACCTTTCCAGAAGGGATTTATTCCATTGTTTCAGAGTTCAAGTTGCTTAAGGTGTTGGACGTATTAACATTTTGGTTAGATTTCTCTAGTGTAATATCTGAGCTTGTACATTTGAGATATGTTGCTGCAAGAATTGAGGAAGGTGTTTCACTAAACAAATTGAGAAATCTACAGACCATAATTTTTAAGAGTGCTGGAAAAACAGAGTTGGAGCAGCCTCTAGATATCTGGAGAATGTCAGATATAAGGCATTTGGATATTGGTTCACCACTATATATATGTAATCCTCTTGAGGCAGAAAATGAGAGTATTGGAGAGCAACCTTTGTTTCTGAATAACTTGCAAAAACTTTATCCCTATAACTCTCCTTTTGTTGCGGAAATCATAAGAAGAACTCCCAATCTAAAAAGGTTAAAGATTTTAAATGATTCTGAGCATCCTGACTGGCCTGCAATAGTTGATTCTCTAATTGTTCTAGAGAAGCTGGAGACGCTACACATAAATCTAAAGACCATTGGCCCGAACATGTTCTCTGGAGATATTTTGCCTATTAAAATCAAGAAATTAAGTCCTAATATCAAGAAATTGAGATTAATTGGCACTTGTATACCATGGGAAGTTGTGAAATTGCTCGCTAATTTACCCAATCTTGATGTGCTCAAGGGCAATAATGCATTCACTGGAACATATTGGAAAGTAGATGAAGATGTTGTGTTTCACAAATTAAAATATCTATGAATTGTTGGCGTAGGTCTGGAAAGGTGGGAAGCAGCTGGTAGTGATAATTTTCCGATGCTTGAGCAACTATTTCTGGGTTGGTTGGATGAACTGAAGGAGATTCCCGAGAGTATTGGAGATATACTGACACTAAATTTGATCCAAATAGGGCAATGCACCTCTGCTTTAGAGAATAGTGCTAAGAGAATTCAAGAAGAGTAAGAGAGCTTGGGAAATTATGAGCTTCAAGTTCGAATTACTCCAAAGGTATCTTCATTTCCATCTTTCATTATTATCTTCTTCCTATTTTGTTGAGTTAATATTCCCTGATGAGTTGCTTGGTTCCTTTTGTTCAGAATCAACATTTAAACAAGGCATAATACATATATTGGACTCTAAACTTGGCTTCAAATTTTAACTTTGACCTCCAACTTTCAAAATGCACAAACAAACACTTTAATTATCCAACTTTTAAATAAACACGCGATTTTTGCAGCCAAAGAGCGTGAAATGCAAACGCTCCAACGTGTATTAGTGAGCCACTCAATGGCTGCCAACTAATTAAATATTTTACACGTCGATTTTAGAACTAAAAAAAAAATCAAAATTAATTTTAATTTATATACAAGAATCAAAATTAATTCCTCCTAATCTTTTTGTCACGCCCCAAGTCTACACCCTGGGCGGGACCGGCACTCGGAGACCATTGCTGGCCCCAAGCGAACCCTTGGCCTGACTTTCTTAACTCAGCAGAAACCTAACTCAACAAATAACTCCATGCAAAGCAAAGTCATAAGACAACTTAACTGATACAAATCTGGCCAACAAGGCACCTCGGGTCTCAAAATAGAATATTTACATATATATACACAAAAGAGAGACTCAAACTAACTAACTGTTTGTCTATTAAGCCTCTAAAGTACTGAGATGGATGTTGGGATAGACCCCACAACATCCTAATAAAACAAAACTAAGAATACAAAACAACTGAGTCCTCCGGAAAGCAAGGAGGCTCACCACTGACTCTGAACTGCTCAGCTGGATCAACGACGTGCAGGATGCTGATCCGGGGTACCTGTATCTGCATCGTCATAAGATACAGGCCAACTGGCATTAGTACATGGAATGTACGAGTATGCGAGCTGGAAACTAAGCAACAAAGGCTAAAAGGAAATCTAGAAGAAACTGAAATAGCTTACCTAGCTCAACTCAACTCGACCTGACTAACATCTTTCAATATAAGGCAAATTTTAAAACAAGTGCGATATAAAGAAAGATTGTTTAAAACATGCTATAAACTCTGTGTGTATACAAAGATACAATAATCCTGAAATGTATATAGAAATACAATGAACTGATGTATATAAAAATACAATAACTTCTGTGTATGAAAATACAATAACTGCTGGGTATGAAAATACAATAACTGTTGTGTATGAAAACACAATAACTGCTGTGTATGAAAATACAATAACTGCTATGTATGAAAATACAATAACTGATGTGGGAGTTTCTCTAACCGACAACCATCACATGAGAGCTATAGTGATGATACAGCGATCGACCTCACGCTGCTAGAGCATCTTATACCCGGCCAAAGGTATAAGACCTGAACTGCCTAATGGATCCACTAGTCTATCTGGAAAAGGATTCATCTAAAAAGTATGATCCTTTTCTACCCATGGTGGCTAACATGGCTCTATGGGGGCTGTGGGTTCTTTGAACGCTCCCCCAATTCGGTGCTCGATACTACTCCCAAAAATGTACTGGCTCTTATGTTTTTAAAACATATGTCTTCCTGCTGATATGAGATAATTACTCAAAAACTAGCCCGAAGACTCTTTTGGAAATCTCAGTTTCCAACCTTGTTTAAATGTAAAAACATTTCTTTAAAACTTCCTTGGAAATACATAGTTCCCTAATAACTTTGAGAAATGAACTCAACTTGGAACTCTTGACCCTTTACTCTTTACTTGACTTGCAACTTGAGCCTTAGAATGAAGTGAAAACTATCAATAAAGATTCTTGAACAACTTTGAAAACTTGAACTAACTTCTTAACTTTGTTTGACTTGACTCTAACTTCCCTTAACTTTGATCCTAACTCGCCTTGAATTGGATTATGGATTCAAGACATATAATCGCATGTTTATAGATGAGTTCGGGAGGCTTAAAAACACTTTGGGGTGTTGGAAACAACTAGGGAACATAGGTATAACACCTAGGAACATGCATGAGAAAGCATGGAAAGAATGGGAAAACTTGGCGCTCTGAGAGGCGCGGAGCGCCAAACCATAAAATTCAGAGAGGGACTGCTGGCGTACTGAGAGGCGCGCCGCCCCAAGTGGAAAACCTCAGAGCCTCTTTTGGGGCGCGCTGGCAGGCGCGACGCGCCGACCCCTTGCCCAGAAAACTCGACTTTTCTCCCTCTTTTCTTCAACTCTAAACCACCCTAACTTCAAGGGTTCCAATCCCAACCACTAAGGATCATAAATTCCTTCAACATACAATAGATTATAACTCAAATACACAGCCCAATCATGTCCCACAACCAACAATAACTTCAACAACACAACTAACAACATCAACAACATCAAACCAACAACTTCAACAACATACCCAATCTTTTCTCAATAACAATGAGTTGGGTGGGTGGGGGAAAGGATCAACCCACACTAATAGCTCACATACCTTGAAAGGGATCACCCCCGACGATTTCCACGACGGAACCTTGACGGAACTAGTTGATCTCCTCTTTCTTCTCTTCTTCTTCCCCTTCTTCTCTTCTTCTTCTCAAGCCCTAGATTTTACTCTTTTAAAATGGGAGAAATGATCCATATATCAGCCCTATACAAAAATATAATCCCAAAAGAATTGGCTAGGGAAAAGACCAAAATGCCCTTAATTTCCGGACGGATTCCCTGCCAACTGCCCAACTTTCAATGGCCATAATTCCCTTATACGAACTCGGAATTGAGCAAACTCAGTGGCATTGGAAAGATCATTCCACAAGATTCACAACCATAACTGGAACTACTCCTAAATCATCCTGAGCTAGGAGTTACGACTGCTCAAAGTTGGCCAAAAACTCACTGATTTCCACACTTAGCCAAATTTTCCAGATTTTTAAATTTTTCCAAAAATGACTATTTCCAATTTCCAAGCTTTTCCATAGTTATTTCAAATTGCCGGATGTTACACTTTTACTTTTCTTCATCATGTTTTTTTTATCCTCTTTTGTAATCCCGAAATAGCAATTCTAGCATGTTCAGTATAATCAAGTTCAAACCACCTAAAAACTTGCATCCAACCTGTTTAAGAAGAACAAATTCACTATCAAAATTGAATCTTGAGAACTAAAATTTAAACAAAAAAAAGATGTCTTAAATGGAACCATACCCGACCATCTTCACATTCAAGAAACCAACGACCTGAATTGTTTGCAGACCAAGAAATCTTCATTATGGCTCTTTTTCCACAATGACAAAAAAAATTAGAAGCCATTTGCACTAAATATAAGCAGAAATCGTTCTAAAGAGATGAAAAAATCTTGGTTTGAAAGAGGAGGAAAAAAATGAGATTTCGATTTGGAAATATAAAGATATATATAAAAGGGATTCATTAAGGGTAGAGTTGTCATTTCAGCATTTTTTTTTACTGTTGTGGGCCTCGAAAATTACTCCTAACGCGTGCAAAATAAGTGCACATCACGCGTTTTGCCAGCTAGGACTCGCGTGTTTATTTATTAAAAAGTTTGATAGTTAAAGTGTTTGTTTGTGCACTATGAAAGTTGGAGGTCAAAGTTAAAATTTGAAGCCAAGTTTAGGGTCCAATATATGTATTATGCATTTAAACAACTATTCCAAGAATTTGAAAATGGAAACTCAAATTCTCAACTTGCTGCTGTCACAATGCGCATAATGCAGGCTCTTCAAACCAATTTGGATGGGAAATCTAAGCAGTATAAGGATCCATCTCTGACTAACTTGTTCCTTATGAACAATATTCACTACATGGTCAGATCTGTTCGCAGGTTTGTTGCATAGACTGTATATAAGCCACCATAGTATATGTTTGCTTGGAAATTGGTGCTTATAATCTGTTCCTTGTAGGTCTGAAAGCCAAGGATTTATTGGGTGATGATTGGGTTCAAAGACACCGGAGAGTTGTACAGCAACATGCTAAACAATATAAAAGAATTGCTTGGGCAAAGGTATTGATTTTCTTGCCTCTCCCTCTCCATTACTTCTTATCTCAAAGAGAAGAAACAAGGAAGAAAATATACACACTGCAACATTTATAATGCTATTTAAGATGAAGTTGAGTTGGGGATAATACCATGAGTGAGTAATCTTGGCATGATGATGTGCCAGTATTATCGTCGTGATTTTTCTTGAATTTGCTGCTCCATTTGTGATATCCAAACTGATCATTTCACTCCATGACTTTGAGTTACTTTATATTTTATGTAATTTTATCTGTGGTTAGAACTCAGTCTGTGTGAGTGTGCTTACATTCCCGGTCCCAAGCATGTATAAAGGAGGGTTGTGGTAGACTAAGTTGGTCAGACTCTTCATTTTCGGTGCTGCACCCGTGTTGATACGACGTGTGTGTGGGAAACGTATCCGATCTAGTCAACCGATTTTGGGTACTTTGACCAAATTTGACGAGAAATACTGGACATAATTATCGCATAATTCAGGTTTTATAACTCTATTTTAGATATTTGAATTATTTTTTAGCCGAGTCCCCGCACCCAAATCCATACTTGGATCCGTATCCCTGAATTTTAAAATTTAGATCATGAAGGATCCAACCTCTAGATCCACAACCGTATTGGACACCCACTCCAGTGTCCGAGCAACTTAAGTGGTAGGCTGACAAGCCCGCATAAGGCTTGCCAACATGATAACTCCATATAATACAGATGAATAAGTGGGGATTGATATAGCTGACCCCAACTTGTTTGGAATCCCAACCTATGCGTTCTTTCTTTGAATTCATATTTCCAAAAATATGACTTCAACAAAGGGAATACTACTAAATATTACAGGTAACTAATGCTTCTAAATATTCAATTTGAGGATCTTCATCAAAGACAAAGTCAATGGACAGTCCCAGACACCGAGCTACGAGAGTCATTGAGGCTTGCAGTTGCTGAAGTCTTACTGCCCGCATACAGATCTTTCATCAAGCGCTTCGGGTATGATATATTTATTGATT